CCGGGAGCAAGCCCACTGAAATCCTGAAATCACCCGTGTCCTCCTGACCGTGCCCCCCTGTCCTTTTCGCTGGCGCACCCTGTATCGCCTCACCAAGCGAAGTATCGCATGCTGTGGGCTCAGCCCCACTGTACAGTGAGGAAGAGAGCTAACAGAGGCGGTCAGGAACGGGGGGGAGACATCCGCCTCTTCAGCAGCCAGGCGAAGAAGTACTGGCGAGGAGAGTGTCTTCGGTAGCCGGTCTTAGAGACAGGTCTGTCTCCTGACCCACACACGCGCAGCCGAGGGGGCTAGTAGTGAGGCGGAGACCCTTAATTGATGATGATTGAGGCCCTGATCGCACTTGGCAGCCTCGTCGTCATCAGGCTATTGCTTCCGCATCATCAGAGAAGAGAGGGTGCCAGCTTATGGCAGCGAGCGAGCAAAACAGTCGGTGGTGTTGCCCAGGAGGCAGCAGGTCCGCAGGCAGTGTCAGTGGAGGCAAAACGGCCACGGAGTAGAGCACCAGCTCCACTGCAGCCTACCACCACTTTTTATGGCCAGTAGTGGAGGGTCCGTTGGGTGCCGGGTGTGCACGGAGGAGCGAGTAGCAGTCAGCCAGTGAGGAGTAGCGGGGGCAAAGTTTCCTACTCGGCGGTGTGGCAATTTTTCGTCAAGCCGCCCGAGGAAGTAAAAACGTTTATTCAGCCGTATGTCGACTATGTGGCCAGAAAGACAAGCGTGGCCAGGGGGCCAATGTAGGGACTACACAGCGTTGCGTCAGCATATGCAGCGTCGCCATTATTGGTGGCCTGGAAAACCGTGATAAAGATACGGCGGTTTCTAGCCAGCCCCAGCCCCCGCACCATCACCCGCTTCCGTTACTTGCTACCCGACGTCAATCGCCCCTCTATCAGACCAGTCAAGGCTCCAAACACCTCTGCTTGAGGGGAGTTGTCGCTCGTTGGCATCTTCCCGCTCGTTCAGATGCTCCTTCTCCTGCTACTCCTCTTCACGGATTCCGTCAGCAGTCTTTCTTGGAATCCGGTTTCCAAGAGACAACAGTTTTGCGAGCACGCACCCGACGGTGCAGAAGCTGAACGTCCTCCTGTCCAAGTTGCTGGTGGCCTGCAGTCCCTCCCTTTCCAAGTGGTGGACTCAGCCACCTTTCCGAGAGGAAATGAATTGGCTTGTTGCCGCGCCGCGGTGTTGTAGAGTGCCAATGCCGGCATTTCTCTTCGCCAAAAAGGCCAGTGCCTAGCCCTGCATTCACATGTTGTAGAAGAGATGGTGGGCCCAGTCTTTGAGCATGTCGGTCTCTGCCAAAGTGCACGCCCCCCCCCCTGGCAGCGCCGACGTGTGGAGCTGTAACTACGGTCAGGGACAGACTTGTCATTTACGGCCCACTGGCGGTTGAACGTGGTGCCGGTACACAGCCGCACCAGCAACTTGGACAGGTCACGCCGCTTTTGCCTCCACATTTGCACGTCCTTGGTCCAGCAAAGATGTCGCCTCTACCACCTCTTCTTCCGCCGTGTCCTCAGACCGCCACCCCCCCAGTGCCAAGTCCCATTACCCGACCGGGCATATCACATGTGCAGGGCGCAACGGTGTCACGCTGTGCTGCACTGGTATGCCTTGGCGAACGTAGTAGTCACACAGGGGAGGAACTTCTGAGTGTGTAATGAACAGAGAAATCGTACACGATGGGCTGTCTCCGCGCAAACTGAAAATCGGAACCATGTTGACCTGACAACGAGAAAGAACATTGGTGTCTGCTCAGTGCGTCAAGTAAGGTTGTGCCATGAGCGCCCATGCATGGCTCACGTGTTCAATCTGGTTGTCAAGCGGTTCCTAAAATCCACCATCCCACTGCAAGACATCTTAAAATGTCACGGTAAACTTTGCATGCATTTCAGCCATTCCTACACGCAAAGCACACCCTCCTTGAGCTGCAGCGCAGATCAGAACGGAACGAATTCCACAGCATCGCCTGATCTGCGACGTTGCAACAAGGTGGAATTTCAACCCTACATATGTTAGACCGCCCTTTTACGAACAGCGAGAAAGGCCATCACCTCGATTTCCTGCCTGTTACAAGCGGAATATAAAGGTACTCCCTGTGTAACTTAGATGTCAGCCATTGGCAGTTCATGCGTTGACACCTGCCGCTGCTCAGGCCCTTTGAGGAGGCCACGCTAATTCGTGGAGTCGGCAGGGACCTATGGGATGATGACGTCATTCCTCTGTTGCACGTCCTGGAACAAATGCTGTTAACAATGGCTGGTCAGGGTGCGGTAACGAGCGGTAGAGTGGCGACAAGATCTCAACCCCACATGACCCCTGTTGGGGCAGGACAGGAAGAAGAAGGAGGAGGTAGAGGAGGACATTGGTGCCTCAGGAATTATTGAGTGAAATGGGTGGTTTTTTACCACTCAGCGGACAGGAGTGGAGGAGCAGGAGCATCTGGGTAGAGGAGGAGGAGGAGGAGACAGAGGACCCAGACGCACCGTGGCAGTATGTGTGGAGATGGACTCGGGCAGGGGAAGTCCCTTCGCGCATTCCTTGGCACAAATGTCCCATAGCATTGCATCTGGTTGTCCTTGCGGTTAGCGACAGGACCGAATAATAAACCATCAGAACAGAGGGTATGACTTTAGGCATGTCCACCTTGTGGATGAAACCCTCGCTAAACTAACCGTGTTCCAAAAAATGGTGGGCCCCTTTTTCACACACCACTGCTGAGAGGGAGGCCAAAATAACGGTTACTATAAAAACACACACTATTGTAGTCAGTTGGATCTCTTGCCCATTCTTGCGCCAACGTTCCATACCTCAGACCCACTGTGGGCCCTGTTGCGCTCGCGTTCCGCTGCCATGGCAGCAGGGGAGGGGTGGGGGTGGTAGTGTGACAGAGGCAGCTCCCACCAGCAGCGGCCCTGCCTCAGTCTTGCAGTCGATGATGAAGTAAGCTTTCCTTATCACCACAGCGCAGTGCGGAACCCACTACTAACCAGCCGCAGCAGCAGCAGCAATGCATGTGTACCTGGAGCAGGACCCTCAAACAACAGGCTTGGGCCTACTTGGACAGGCCACCCTGCGCCAACCGAGGTAGAACCAATCCCTTGACTACTGGGCACGAACGAAACTTGGACCCATTTGGCCCCAACCTAGCTGAATTTGCCCTTGAAATGGCTGTTCATCGCCCGGCCAGTTAGCGTGGGCATCGGAGCGCGTGTTTAGTGCGAGCCAGGAGGTATTAGTAACTCGCTGACGAAGGACACGACTGTCCACACCCCAAAGTGTGGAGAGTACTCAATCCCGTATTATGTTGAAAATGAACTCAGTCGTGAATTGAGTCAGGATTTTCAAACCAGCCAGTTCCTGACACAACTGACTAAATCCGCCAATGAATCATGCCCCAAAACATGTTAATTATTATTTTTAACATAGGTGCCTCTGTATGGCCTTTCAATTTAAGCTGCTTACCGCTGTCGCCACTCTTGCCATGGGCCCCCTGTACCTACCACTTCCTCCTCTTGCAGCTGCCGATGGTCCAGAGAGTGTGTCATGGGTCCCTGTACGGCCCCTCCCAATTGTCTGCTGTCTCCATCGCCACACTCTGCCATTGTGACCAATTTCAGGTCCTCCTCACACTGCCTGGTGGGTACCATTATGTCCATATATGGGTGCGGGCAGAGTTACGGGCCTCCCATTGGCTGCTGCCAGGCCCCGTTAATCTGCCATGGTGCCCCTTGTACCGCGCCTCATCATGCTGACTGCCAGGTCCAGAGTGGTGTCATGGGTCCCCCTGTACGGCCTCCCATAGCTGCTCGTCTCCATCGCCACACTCTGCCATGTGCCACTTTCATGTCTCCTCACACTGCTGGTAGGGTTCCATTTTTGTCATAGGGTGCTGGGCAGATATACGAGCCTACAGTTTGCTGCTGCCAGGGCCCGTAATCTGCCATGGGGGGGGCCCCACCCGTTACCAGCCTCCTCATGCAGTCTGCCAGAGTCCAGAGTGTACTCATGGAGGTTCCCTGTATACGTCATGGCCATCCCATTGCTGCCTGTCTCCTATGCGCCACACTCCTGCCATGTGCCATCTTTCAGGTCTCCTTCGACACTGCTGTGTGTGGATTCCATTTTGTCCATAGGGTGCTGGGCAAGATTATGGGGCCTCTCCATGCTGCCTGCTACGCCGCCCGTTAATCTGCCATGGGCCCGGGCCCCCGAACCTCGCCTCCTCATGCTGCTGCCAGGTCCCAGAGTGTGTCATGGGGTCCCCTGTACGGCCTCCCCATTGCTGCTCTGTCTCCAATCGCCAACACTCTGCCATGTGCCACTTTCAGGTCTCCTCACACTGCTAGGTGGGTTTCCATTTTGTCCATAGGGTTCTGGCAGATTTTACAGAGGCCTCCCCATTGCTGGCTGCCAGGCCGTTAATTCTGCCATGGGCCCCCGTAATACGCCCTCCTTCATGCTGCAGCCCAGAGTCCTGGAGTGTGTTGTCATGGGTCCCTGTAACGTGCCTCACCATTGCTGCTGTCTCCATCGCCACCACTCTGCCATGGTGCCACTTTTCCAGGTCTCCCACACACTGCTGGTGCGGTTCCATATTTGGTCATAGGGTGCTGGCAGATAACAAGACCACCCATTGTGCCTGCTGCCAGCCCCCTAATCTGCCATGAGGCCCCCGTACCGCCCTTCCTCATGGCTGCTGGGGGGGGGGGGCGGGGTGGAGGGGGTGGGTGGGGGTGGTGTGGGGGGAGGAGCCCAGATCCAGAGTGTGTTGGTTCATGTGGTCCCCTGTTGACCGGCCTCCCATTGCTGCTGTCTCCATCGCCACCACTCTCGCTGCCATGTGCCCACTTTCAGGTCTCCTCACAAACTGCGCTGGAGGGGTTCCAATTTTGTCATTAGGGTGCTTGTGGCAGATTTTACGGGCCTGCCCCAATTAGCTGCTCTGGCTAAAAGGCCAGGCCCGTTAATCTGCCATGGTCCCCCGTACCGCCTCCTCATGCTGCTGCCGAGGTCCAGAGTGTCTCATGGGTCCCTGTACGGCCTCCCATTGCTGCTCGTCTCCATCGGCACACACTCTGCCATGTGCCACTTTTCAGGTCCTCCTCACACTGCTGATGTGGGTTACATTATGTCATAGGTGTGCTGGGCAGCATTACGGGCCTCCCATTAGCTGCTGCTCGCCAGGCCCCGAAATCTGCCCATTGGGCCCCCCACGTACACACCCTCCTCATCGCTGCTGCCAGGTCCAGAGTGTAGTCATGGGTCTCTGTAAACGGGGCCTCCCATTGCTGCTGGTCTCCATCGCCACACTCTGTGCCATGTGCCACTTTCAGGTCTCCTCACACTGCTGGTTGTGTTCCATTTTTGTTATAAGGGGAGCTGTCAGATTACGGGGCCTCCCATTGCCTGCAGCCAGGCGCCCGTAACATACTGCCATGGGCCCCCGTACCCGCCTGCACTCATCGCATGCTGACAGGGTACCCCAGAGTGTGTCATGGGTTCCCTGTACTGCCTCCCAATTGCTGCTTGGTCTCCATCGCCCACACTTGCTATGTTGCCCACTTTTCTCAGGTCTCCTCCACAACTGCTTGGTGGGGTTCCATTTTGTCATAGGGTGCTGGCAGCATTACGGGCACCTCCCAATGCTGCTGGCCATGGCCCTGTAATCTGCTATGGGCCCCCCGTAACCGACTCCACATGCTGCGTGCCTAGGTCCCAGAGCGTCACATGGGTCCCTGTACAGTCCTCCCATTGCTGCTGTCCTTCCATCGCCACACATCTGCCATGTGCCCACTTTCAGGTCTCCTTCACACCCTGCAGGTGGGTTCCAATTTTGTCATAGGGGTAGTGCTGGCAGATTACGGGCCATCCCATTGCAGCTGCCCAGACCCGCTAAATCTGCCAATGGAGCCCCCCCGTAGACGCGCCCATTCATCATAGCTGCAGCCCAGTGTCCATAGTGTGTTCATGGCGGTCCCTGTACGGCACTCCCATTGCAGCTGTACTCCCATCGCACGACAGCTCTGCATGCCTTGTGCCACTTTTCAGGTCTCTCTCACACTGCTGGTTGGCTTCCATTTTTGTCATAGGGTGCTCGGCATGATTACGGGCCTCCCCATTGCTGCAGTCCAGGCCCGAAATTGTCTTTTTTGCAATGGGCACCCGTACCAGTGAACCGCCATCTCTACATGCTGCAGCCAGGTCCAGAGTGTCTCTCATTGGGTCCCCCCGTACGGCCTTCCCATCATGCCTGCTGTACTCCATCTCGCACACGTCGCGGCCATGTGCCACTTTCAGGTCCTCCTCACTACTGCTGGTGGGTTCCATTTTGTCATCGGGTTGCTGGCAGATTAAACGTGCCTACCATTGTGCTGCTGCCAAGGCCCGTAATCTGCCATGGTCACCCCGTACCGACTCCTTCATCGCTGCTAGCCGAGGCCCGTAAATCTATGTCATGGGGCCCCTGTACCGCCCGCCCATTCCTCATTGCTGCTGCCGAGGGTCCCAGAGTGTGTCATGGGTCCCTGTATCGGCCGTCCCATTGCTGCTGTCTCCATCGCCACCACACTCTGCCATGTGCCACATTTTTCAGGTCTCCCTCACACTGCTGGTGGTGTTCCATTTAGTCATAGGGTGCATGGCAGATTACGGGCATCCCATTGCTAGCAGCGGCCAGGCCCGTAATCTGTTCATGGGCCCTGATAAGGCCCCGTACCGCCCGCCTCCTCATGCTGCTGCCATGAACCAGAGCTGTGTCATGGGTCCCCTGTACTGCCTCCCATTGCTGCTGGTCACCATCGCCACACTCCTGCCCTCGGGATGTTTGCCACATTCAGGTCTCCTCAACACTGCTGGTGGGTTCCATTTTTGACATAGGGTGCTGGCAGATTACGGGGCCTCGTTCCCATTGCTGCTGGCCATGCCCGTTAATCTGCCATGGGCCCCGTTACACGCCTCCTCAAGCTGCTGCCATGTCCAGAGTTGTCCTACTCATTGGGGTCCCTGTGTACGGCCGTTCCCCATTGCTCGCCCTGTCACCATCGCCACAACTCTGCCATGTGCCACTTTCAGGTCTCCTCACACTGCTTGTGGGTTCCATTTTTGTCATAGGGTTGCTGGGGCAGATTACGGGCCTCCCAATTGCTGCTGCCAGGCCCGTAATCTGTCAAGGGCCCCTGTACCGCCTCCCCTCATCGCTGCTGCCAGGTACAGATGTGTGTCATGGGTACCCCTAGTAACGGGCCTCCCAGTGCTGCTTGTCTCCATCGCCACGACTCTGCCATGTGCCGACTTACAGGTTCTCCTCACACTGTAGTTGGGTTTCCATTTTGTCCAGAGGGTGCCTGGCAGAATTACACGGGCCTCCCAGTGCAGCTGCCAGAACCCGTAAATCTGCCATGGGCCCCCCGTACCGTACCTCCTCCTCGATGCTGCATGCCAGGCCCGGTAATCTGCCATGGGGCCCCCGTAACCAGGGCCTCCCTCATGCTGCTGCGCCAGCTCCAGAGTGTCTCATGGGTCCCTGTACGGCCCCTCCATTGCTGCTGTGCTCCATCGCCACCAAGCTCTGCCATGTGTGCCACTATCAGGTCTCCTCACACTGGCTGGCCTGGGGTTCCATTTTGACATAAGTGTTGCTGGCAGATTACGTGCCTCCCATTGCTGCTAGCTGCCAGTGCCCGTAATCTGTCATGGGCCCCCTTGTACCGCTCGAGCCCGCCTCCTCCATGAGCTGCTTGCCCAGGTGCAGGAGTGTGTCATGGGTCCCTGTTACGGCCTCCCATTGGCTGCTGTCTCCATCGCCACACTTCTGCCATGGTGCCAACTTTCAGGTCTCCTCACCCACTGCTGGTTGGGTTTCCATTTTGCTGTCATAGCGGTGCTGGGCAGTAATAACGGGCCACCCATTGCAGCTGCCCAGTCCCGTAATCATGGCCCATGGGCCCCAGTACTTACCGCCTCCTTCATGCTGCTGGCCAGGGTCCATAGTGTGTCATGGGTCCCTAGTACGGGCTCTCCATTAGCTGCTGTCTCCCATCGCCACACTCTCTGCATGTGCCACTTTTCAGCAGGTCTCCTCACCACTGCAGGTGGATTCCATTTTGTCATAGGGTGCTGGCAGATTACGGTCCTCTCCCATTGCTGCTCGCCAGGCCGTTACATCTGCCATGGGCCCGCCGTACAGCCTCCTCATCGCTGCTGTCACTGTCCCTGAGTGTCTCATGGGTCCCTGTACAGGCTCCCCATTGCTGCTGTCTCCATCTACCACAACTCAGCCCATGTGCCACTTTCAGGTCTCCTCACACTACTGGTGGGTGTTTCCATTTAGTCAAAGGGTGCTGGCAGAATTACGGGCACTACCAATTGCTTGCTGCCTGGCCCGTTAATCTGCCATGGGCGCCCCTCAGTACCGACTCCTCATGCTGCTAGCCAGAGGCCCGTAAATCTGTTCATGGGCCCCTGTACCGCCTCACTCATCGTCCTCTGCCCAGGTTCCAGATGTGTCCTCATGGGTCCCTGTACGGCCTCCCATTGCTGCTGACTCCATCGCCACACTCTGCAATGTGGCCAACTTTCATGGTCTCCTCTCACTTTCTGGTGGGTTACCATTTTGTCATTTTAGGGTGCAGCTGGCAGATTACGGGACTCCGCATTGCTGCTGCCAGGCCCCAGTAATCTGTCATGGGCCCCCTGTACCGACCTCCTCATACTGCCTGCCAGGAGGTCCGAGAGTGTGTCATGGGACCCCTGTAAAGGGCCTCCCATAGCTGCTGTCTCCAATCGCCACACAACTCCTGCCATGTGGCCACTTTCAGGTCTCCTCACACTGCTGTGTGAGGTTGCCCATATTGTCATAGTGGTGCTGGCGGATTACCGGGGCCTCCCATTGCTGCTCCGCCAGGCCCGTAATCTGCCATGGGCCCCCGTAACCGCCGTCCTCATGCTGCTGCACATGCTACCAGAGTGTCTCATGGGTCCCCTGTACGGCCTCCCATTGCTGCTGTCTCCATCGCCACACTCTGCCATGTGCCACTTATCAGTCTCCCTCACACACTGCTCGGCTCGGTTTCCATATTTGTCATAGGGTGCTGGCATATTACGGGCCTACCATCCATTGCTGCAGCCAGGACCCGTAATCTGTCATCGGGCCCCTGTATTAGTAACCAAACACGCGCCTCTCTCATGCTGCTGCCCAATGTCCAGAGATGTGTTCATGGGTCCCCTGTAAACGGCCTCCCAATTGCTGCTAGTCTCCAATCGCCACAGCCACTTGCCATGTGCCACTTTCAAGGTCTCATCACACTTGCTGGGGGGGTTTTTTTATTTGGGGGTGTCCATTTTGATCATAGGGTGCTGGCAGATTACGGGCCTGTCCATTGCAGCTGCCAGGCCCGTAATCTGTCATGGGCCCCTGTACCAACGCCTCCTCATCTGCTAGGCTGCAGGTCTCCCAGAGTGTGTCATGGGTCCCTGTAACGGGCCTCCCAGTTAGCTTGCTTGTCCTCCATCGCCACACAGCTCTGCCATGTGCCACTTTCCAGGTCTCCCACACACTGCTGGGTGGGTTCCCATTTTGTCATAGGGTGCAGGCAGATATACCTGTGCGGGTGCCATCCCATTGCTGCTGCCAGACCCCGAAATCTTGCCATGGGCCCCCTGTAATACGCACGCCCTCCTCATGGCTCGCTGCCAGGAGTGCCCGTAAATCTGTCATGGGCCCCTGTATCGCCTCCTCAATGCTCCTGCCAACGGTCCAGAGAGTCTCATGGGTCCCTGCCTAAGCCTGGTATACGGCCTCCCATTGCTTCTGTCTCCATTCGCCACACTCTGCCATGTGCCACTTTTCAGGTCTCTCTCACACTGCTGGTGGGTTCCATTTTAGTCATACGGTGCTGTTATGGCCTCTCACATTGCTGCTGGCCCTCCACCGCCACCACTGTTGGTCTACACACTTCTGGTTTTGGTCCCCGTGATGCCAAAAGCGGCGAGTGAAGTGTGCGGAGGATTCTAAGATGACGAAAGGGCACTCATCAAGCATGTCATACTGACTTGACAAGTATTATATCTCTTCCCCAGGCAGA